CCCATATATGGAGCTCCACCGAAGGCCCCAGTGGCGGTGCCCACATGCGCCCCCGCCACCCATGTCGGCACACCCCTCACACGCTTCGTGGCCCCGTAGTGAGCTTCACCGAAGGCCCCAAAGGCGGTGCCCACATGCGTCACCGACACCAGTGTCGGGACACCCCTCGCACGCTTCGTGGCTCCATAGGGAGCTCCATCGAATACGATACTCAAAACGGCGTTACTCACAAGTGCAGATGGTTGGGTCCTTCGCCAGGCTAACTTCAACATGGGGCTCTCGCTTGAGACTTCCCTCCAAGTGAGCGACCAGCAGTGCAAGCCTGAGCAACGAATCCACGGATGGGGGGCAGCTCCTTTTCACAAAGGGGCCCTCGCTGGAGACCTTGCTGCGCTTTGCTTTCGCGCCTGCTCGATTGCCTGGCAGTTCCTCCCCGCCGTGCTCTCGTCGGCGCCCCGCCCTCGCGAGCACCCCCGCGCGCGAAAGAGAGGAGTCGGGCGGGTGCAGCTCTCCACGGCTCCCCACGGCTCCCCGCGGAGCAGCCATCGCGCTACCATGGAGGAGCGCTCTAGACTTAAGTCGGGCCTGTCCCCCGACAGGGGGATTTTAGACCAAGAATACACCAAAAAATCAAAAAAAGCCCCCAGACTATGTTTATATTATGGTTGGGCTATTTGGCGGGGTAGTTTTCCCAACCATCCTGTGGTGTTGGGTCCTCGTTTTGAAGAAACGGTGGCCCGCGTCTCCTCTCCTCTCCTCCTCCTCCTCCTCCTCCTCCTCCTCCTCCTCCTCCTCCTCCTCCTCCTCCGCCTCCTCCTCTCCTCCTCCTCCCCTCCTCTCCTCCTCCTCCTCCTCCTTCCTCCTCCTCCTCCTCCTCCTCCTCCTTCCCTCCTCCCCCTCCCCCTCCGCCTCGTCCTCCCCCTCCCCTCCCCTCCCCCTCCCCCTCCCCTCCCCCTCCTCACCTCCTCCTCCTCCTCCTCCTCCTCTCCTCCTCCTCCCCTCGTCTCCTCCTCCTCCTCCTCCTCCTCCTCCTCCGCCTCTCCGCCTCCTCCGCCTCCTCGCATCCTCCGCCTCCTCCTCCTCCTCCTCCTCCTCCTCCTCTTCCTCCTCCTCCTACTCTTCCTCTCCTCCCTCCCTTCCCTCACTCCCTCCCTCCCTCCCTCCTCCCTCCCTCTCCCTCCCTCCCTCTCTCCCTCCCCCCTCCGTCCCTCCTCCTCCTCCTCCTCCTCCTCTCCTCCTCCTCCTCCTCCGCCTCCTCCTCCTCCTCCTCCTCCTCCTCATCCTCCTCCTCCTCCTCCTCCTCCTCCCCCCCCCTTTCCGTGTGGATGACGCCTGCCCGTCTCACCACCAGGCGTGTCGGTACGGCGGGCCAGGCGTGTCGCCCGAGGCTGCCGTACCACTTTACGACCATGGGTCAGAAAGCGTCCAACAAGTACACATCGGTCGGAAGAAGTAGGTAATAACATGAAGTTGGAAGGCGGATAAAGTGGATTGGGTCCAGGCCCTCCCAGAGAATATCAAAGCACAGCAAAATCATGTCGATTCTTGAAGTAGGAAGGCGCTTGAAGTAGATTGGGATCTGGGAATCCAAAAATACCTACTTTCAACGACCGGCGTGTACACGGTTGGAGGCTTGGAAATTGACACCATCACCAAAACAGGGGGTTGCCTCCACCAGGGGAGGATGGTCCTAGAATTCGGTGTAGGTGGTAATCTTTCGGCCACCTCGGAAGCCAGAAAAGTACCACCATCACCGAGATTGGGATATTCTTCCCTCGGTGGAGGCACAACGCCGATATTGGTGTTGGTGTCAACCTCTAGGCCTCCGACACGGATGGATGGGGAGAGGGTCTTCTCCAAAGTGGGGCTCACGCCTCTGCGCCGAACACGCTCGCCCTAGCGCTCACAACAGGTACGGGAATGGACGGGGTCGCCTTCAATATGTGGGACTCTCGCCTCAGAACTGCAAACACTCGCCTCAAACGTTTGCGGCCCCTCTTCAAAATGTGGCTCGCGCCTTGGTGCCTCGAGCACTCGTCTGACAAATTCAAACAATAACCAATGAAGGTCTCGCTCAGGACTTCCGCGACGTTAACGACCAGAAGCTTGAACATCCGCCGACCCAGTCGATGTGTGGAAGACGCTCTTCCGTTGGTCGCAGTCGTCACCATCGTGTCGACTCCGTCGTCTCCTCGTCGTCTCCGTCGTCGTCTCCGTCTCCTTCGTCTCCTCATCGTCTCCGTCAATCGTCGTCTCCGTCGCCCCCCGTCTTTTTCCCCTGGGCCCTCGTCATCGTGTCGTCTCTGTCGTCGTCTGCGTCTCCGTCGTCTCCTCGTCGTCTCCGTCAGACCGTCGTCTCCGTCGTCCCCCGTCTCCAACCCCTGGACCCTCCTCCTTAAGCGCGCGAGCCAAACCGACAATGAGCACTGTCGCAGCTGAGTCCAAGGGAAGACCCTTCCCTTTGATCGCCTCCCCGCCGGGGGGGGTCCCAGGGGGGTCCTGGGAGGGTCGCCCCCCAGATACGCATCCCCCCCCCCTCGGGCGGTTCCGAGGCACAGAACAGCTCCAAGACGCGGCAAGAGTGCCTCAAGAGAACCCCAAGACGGTCCTTGAGGGCCCCGAATCGCCAAATTATCGGTCCAAGACGCCAAAGTAGCCTCCAGGCGGCTCAAGAGGCGTTCAAGGCCGCAAGAGGCCTCCAGGAGCACTCCCAAGAGAGCCCCTTCCTCAGCCTTTGAAAGGTGTTGGCGTGCGTTCTCGCATTGTCGGCTTCCCAACGCTCCAAGACAGCCCAAGAAGCCCCCAAGGTCGCCCAAGAGGCCTCCAAGAGGGCCCCAAAACGATCCAAGAGGGCCCCAAGACCGCTCGAGAGGCCTCCGAGACAGCCCAAGAGGCCCCCAAGACGGCTCCAAGAGAGAGCCCAGACGGGACCCGAACGGACATTTCGAGCCCTCGGCCTGAGAGGCTCCCAGGAGGGCCCCAGGTGCCCCCCACAAGCGCCCCAAGGCGCCCCAAGAGGCCCCCGAGAACCCCCCGGGAAGCCCCGAGAGGCCCCAACGAGGCTCCCAAGAGCCCCCCAAGAGCCTCCCAAGAGGCTCCTTGGGGCCTCTTGGGAGCCGCCGTCGTCGTCGTCGTCGTCGTCGTCGTCGTCGTCGTCGTCGTCGTCGTCGTCGTCGTCGTCGTCGTCGTCGTCGTCGTCGTCGTCGTTCAGGGTCGGCGGCACCAGCCGTAAGGCCTTTCCAACATGTGACAGCTGCACGGATGGAGGGCGGTATGTTCCCCGACCATCCTGTGGTGTTGGGTCGTCGTTTTGAAGAGACGGCGCCCCGCGTCCCTCCTCCTCTCCTCTCCTCCTGCCCCTCCTCACTCCTCCCCCTCCTCGCATCTGCCCTCTTCGCCGCCATCGCCACCGTCACCGTCACCGTCATCATCAGTATCATCATCATCATCACCATCATCATCATCATCATCATCATCATCATCATCATCATCATCATCATCATCGTCATCATCATCATCATCATCACCATCATCATCATCATCATCATCATCATCATCATCATCATCATCATCGTCATCATCAGCATCATCAACATCATCACCATCATCATCATCATCAACATCATCATCATCGTCATCATCATCAGCATCATCATCATCATCGTCATCGTAATCAGAATCAGCACCAGCACCATAATCATCGTCATCAACATCACAATCAGCAGCATCATCAGCATCAGCATCATCATCACCATTGTCATCATCATCATCATCATCATCATCATCATTGTCATCATCATCACCATCATCATAATCCTCATCCTCATCCTCATCATGATCCTCATCATCATCAGCAGCATCAGCATCCTCATCATCATAAGCATCAGCATCAGCATCAGCATCAGCAGCAGCAGCATCAGCAGCAGGATCATCAGCACCATCATAAACACCATC